TCTTTCCCTGTTACATGTGAGAAAGGAGACTGGAGTATTGTTCAAGGTACATTATTTTTCCTTATAAACTAAGTAGGATTTAAATTTCTTTTTGTTCTTTCAAGCCTTTGGATTCAATGAAGTGTTAATTATGTCAATCTAAGCACAGAAGATTTATGTGATGATCAATTGTTTCTAAGAGGAATATGATAGTCACACTCTTTAATACTTTTTTTTATTGGCTAAAATTTATTGATAATTACAAATTTTGTGGGTCTGATATCTTATTTATCGAGTCTCTCTATTGACAATAGGACACACTACAAATTGTTAGTTTTAACCAATTGTAGAAAAAATATTAGCAAAAATGTGTTAAAACGAGTGTTGATAGTGCTTCTTTTGTTTCTAAACTTCCAAGATACATGATTTTGAATCTCGACGAAAAAAGTATATGACAAAAGAAAATACAGGCAATGACTCAACTCAATGTTATGGGTGTGCAAAATTCTGAATTGATCCAAATTAAAAAATTCAATCCATTTTGATGAAATAATCGAATTAATCTATTTTGTAAAACAATTTCAATTACTTAATCTATTTTTACAAACAATTCTGGTCGGTTCAATTTGAATTTTTTGAAAAAGCTTATAACTGTAACACACCAATCTAATTTTAAAAAACATCCGATTCATTTTTTAAAAAATAAATAAATCCACATTATAAAAAATGGTTCGATGAAGCAATTTATAAAATAGATAAATTTCAATTTAAACTTTTTAAAATATCAGATCCATAAATAATCCTACTCAATGTGATATTTTATTTGATAATGTTTTCCATGCTTTTGGCAGGGCTCAAGATCGATGAATTCTCACAGGACAAGATGGACAAAACAGCCGCAGAGCTCGTTGAGGAGAAAGAATTGGCCAAGTCATGCCTTAATTGAGCACCCATGTTTTCTTGGAATCACTACTCAATAATTGTGGCTCTTGAAAATAAAATAAGGGAGACTTTCCTCAACTCAGAAAAAGCAAAAGAAAGTTTCACTCTCTGTCTGAAATTGTGATCACTTCAGTTTATTTTTATTGTATGTTTGTAAGAACTTTAGCCCTTCAGGCAAAAGACATTGTGTTAGTTTATATGCTATATACTAAAATATATGAATTCTAGTTCCATTCCTTATTAATAAATTACATCTATTATTTAGTATATCTTATATGAATTTTGCACAAAAACAAAAGTGTTACACACGTCTTACCTATTTTCTTGCACAAGTATTTTCTTGAATCCTGATAGTTTCTTTATATTTTAATCATGTATGTAATGAAAATATAATTGCATCAAGATTTAAAACAATGGACAGTGGAGTTTGAAAGTTGAAAGTAAAACTTACTTAATACATATCATGAGATTATTGATATCTTAGGGGGTGTATTGGATTAGGATTTTAAAGAACTTTTTTAGTTGAAAAAAGTTTTATGAATTTTAAAAGGTTTTGTAGGATTTTCATAACTTTTAAAATTTTGTAGAATTCTGCAAGACTTTCAATAAGGATTTTAATGGATTTTGCAAGATTTTTAAATTAAAATTTTAATGGATTATGCGGGACTTTGTGAACTTTACAAATACAAAAAGAGTTCAAGATTTTTTTCATACATTCAAATTTTAAAAAAGTCAAAGAGAAAAATAATAAAAAAAAATAACAATGTTTGGATAAATAATAATAATAATTCTCCATAATATCATGTTCTTCTAAATAGCATTACTCATATATTCATAGTTATACTAGTCCTTCAAGTATTAGTATCTTTTCACTCTTGCTCCTAAGTTTAATAGGCTCAAAATTATGATTTTCATTAACCGTTGAAGATGAAGGTTCGTCCACCACTCCAATTAGAAATTCATTAGAATGATATTCTTTACGAAGAAAGTTATGTAGTGTTGCACATGCTAAAAATTATTCTAAACAATATTTTAAATTTTTTTATAATTTTTGATTAAAATATTTTATTTATAAATTTATAAATGATTAAAAAAGTAGTGAGACAGCTACCCTACTCTCTTATAACTAAATATGTCCCTTCATTTTATATTGGTATTTGAGTGAAAGTTTGTCTTTCATACACTTTTATTCATTTAAAATATCTTAGAAATTTACAAACATCAATTAGGAGAAAAAAATATATGAAATTTGTTACAGGTACAAAATATTTTTTTTTAATTTTTTAATTGCTTTCAATTATTCACTTATGAAAAAATATTTTTAATATTAAATTTTAAGACACTGCAATGTCTTATGATAATTTTGTTTTTTAAAATATAAAAAATCCTAATTTTACAATATAAAAATAAAAATAAAATAAAATTTATAGTAAAAAAGAAATAAAATAATTGTTGAGTCATAAAAGGGAAAGGATAATAGGAACAAATTCAAGAAAGGGAGAGAGATCACAGTTTTGTGCTTAGAGGGTTCTTCCATCAACTAAGATTCATTCTTATCTCATTCTACTCATAGAAACTCTAACTCAAATTCATCTTATATATATATTGTTCTAATAAATCTAAATTGATTACAAGGTCTTGAAGATTTATAGTTGATTATAGAGATCATGATATCAATTTTAACTTTCACCTTTCCCTTTTCTTGACGCGTGTTATAAAAAAATTATTACTTAAAAGTTGAAATTTTAAGCGTTTTCTATGTTATATAACTGAGAAACAATCTGAACTAATTAATAGAGAAAAATAGAACAAGTCAATTTGTGACATCCCGAATCTTCTACATAGTTAATTATTATTATTTTATATTTATGGAGCTTATTTCATTAAGGGGATTTTATAGAACATTTTAGAGATTTTTAAAAATTTAAATATTTATAAAAAATTAATTTTTATATGAAAATTTATTTTATTTTATTTTATTTTATTTTATTATTATTTTTTTTAGGCCTAGAACGGGTCGTTCCAAAAAGCGAAACGGGTCGTTCTCATAAGTAGAACGGACATTCCAAAAAGTGGAACAGGCCGTTCCAGACAAATAAAATAGCCTAAAATCTAAGTTAGAAATGAGTCATTCCAATTATGGTTAATGTGTGTTAAAATCAATTCCAGAATGGGCCGTTCTAATTTTGAGAACGGGCAATTCCGGCCACTCTTGAATTATGCCTATAAATAGGAGGGAGGGGCTGTGAGAAAATATAACTGACTAAGGTGAAAACTTAGAGAGAGAAAGAGAAAGAGAGAGAGAGAGAGAAAGAAAGAGAAAGAAAGAGGGAATTTAGAGGAGAAGATTAGCAAGGTTCTGCTCTAGTTTCAGCTCCTACTTATCGAGGTAAGGGAGGGAGTGAGAAACCTCGCTCGAGGGTGTGGGAATAATTGTTGAGTAGTTGGATTGGTCCCCAATCCCTTGCCTGATGTATGTTTCTAGGAACATGAATGTGTTTTGTTTTACTTTCTGATTGCTCTAATGTGTTCCTTGTTGGAAGTGATGAATGAATATGTAATTAATTTTAAAATTAAATAAGTTTGAATATGAATAAGAGTGTTCTGTGGATTCCTGTGTGGACCTTATGAGGAATAATTATTGCTCTACTGTGTTCCTTGTTGGAAGTGATGAATGAATATGTAATTAATTTTAAAAATAAATAAGTTTTAATATGAATAAGAGTGATCTGTGGATTCCTGTGCGGACCTTATGAGGAATAATTATGACATGACTATGTGAAATATGAACAAATGACATGAGAATGGGCTATTGAGATAAGTTATTTATGACTATGAGAATACGAAAAATGATGACATGAGGTAATAAATGAAATTTCGTAATAAGTGAAATGTTGAGTCAATGAAATAGTGAATGTATGACATGCATCATATACATATATAACTCTAGGTGTGTCCCTTATGCCGCATACCAGTGATGTAACAAGCTAACAAGGTGTACCTTAGGGTCACCAGTGATGTAACAAGCTAACAAGGTGTGCCTTAGGGTCACTAGTGATGTAACAAGCTAACAAGGTGTACCTTAGGGTCACCAGTGATGTAACATGCTAACAAGGTGTGCCTTAGGGTCACCAATGATGTAACAAGCTAACAAGATGTACCTTAGGGTCACCAGTGATGTAACAAGCTATGTGATCCAGGTGTGCCGCTTAGGCCGCATACCAGTGTTGTACTGAGACATTTTAGGTGTACCTTGGGTCACCAGTGATGTATTTGTTATGATTATGTGTGCGTTGCTTAACATTTATTTCTACATCTGAATTAGAGTGAGATGTTTCTCACTCCCTTGTTATTCTTGTACATGTTTAAATTATGTTGCAGGTGATCATCATCATGAGGATGTTGGTGATGAGGTTTAAAGTTTCAGTTGAGCATGCTCTGATAGAATATGTGACATCAGGGCATAACTAGGCTTAGTTTAGGATGTTATTGTTTTAAAATCCTCAGTTTCTTTTCTTTTGTAATATCTAGAGAAGGTATAACGTAGATGAAGTCTATAGTTGCAGCGATTGAAAGTGTATGTTGAGAATTGTAATTTTGAATGTTCTTGATGAAAGGCTAAAGTGTGTATCTTTGTTATATTTTTATTACATGATTTAGAAGTTATAAATTAATTCATAACTAGGAGGCACTGCCACCTTTACTGGAATTAATCTATATTTCCTTTATTATTTTTTTTATGATTTCTTGAGTTTTGATACTTACATGTTAACTTTTTATGGTTTATGAGTTAGGAATGTGAACCTTCTATCTTATGATATTTGAGACATTTGTTTTATCCATGAAAGATGTTATCAACTATGAAAGATTTTATTTACTCAAAAAGAAAAAAAAATATTGTTTACATTTATTGTGTATTAATGTTGGGGTAGAGGGTGTCACACAATTAAAGAGAATGAAGAGAAAAATAGAGCAAGTCAATGACACTATCATTTACGTATAAAAGTTTCACCAAATAGGGGAATGAAATATGAATAGTAGTTTATATGAATAGTAGTGTAGTATTATTTGCAAGAGAACAAAATGGAGAAGACATGAGCATAAAAAAAAAGATGAAAAACTCACTTGAAAATTCTTGAAGCACTTAAAAAGTCACTTCAAAAAATCCTCCAAAATCTGATAGGTTTGAATGAGATTGTTTTATGAATTTAGTATTTATAGATACCACTAAAAAGTCCTTCAAAATCTCTCTAATACAACTATCCTTTAAAATCCCTATATTTTTGAATACTAATGGATTATTTTTAAGTTGTAAAAAGACTCAAATGAATATCAATGAATTTTAATGAACTCTTTAAAAAAATCTAGAAAAATCATATTGAATACCACTAGATTATTTTTAAGTGACCTAAAATGTTGATTGAATACCAACAGATTTTTTTACTCAAAAAAACCCCTTTTAAAATCTTATAAAATCCTAAATCAATATTATTAAAAAAAATGTTATATTTTTGAATTTTTTTTAAAAAATATTTGAGGGAATTTTTTGCATATTTTTTTACAATAATAAATCTACAGAAATGTTTTATGAATTTATTTACAAAAATAATTTACAAAAATTTATTACAATTTTTTTTATAAAAAATAATCTATAAGAAATTTTTGTAAATTTTATTACAATTTTGATGATCATAAATTTTTTTATAAACACATCATGAGACTATTGATATCTTAAGTTGTTTCTACTTTTATTATATTACTATTTTAATCAAATTGTCATTACAATCACAAGGTGGTATTAGAATAAAAAATACTGAAAATGTAAAATACAGGATATCCAATCCTAGCAGGAAAAGGAGGGGAAACAGATACTCAATCAATTAAGGAATGCTCGGAGACCAAACTAATCTTTAATTAATTGTTTTGAGAAAAGAGTTCATAGAGTCGCCACCAATGTTTTACTCAAAACATTGGAAAAAGAAAAGGTTTTTTAAAAGTCCAATAATGGCCTTGATAACTAGAATTGGGTTCGGGGGTCGGTTACGTGTAGGAAAGGTATTAAGCACCCTTACAACTCCCTTAATTGGTACCCTTATGATGAAGTTAGCATAATAAGAATTAATAGTTAAATATTTAATCCCTTTTATTAATGATTATTTACATGCTTGAAATTTAAATTACGATTGATCCTAAAATGTCTACATGGATGCTTTTATTATAAAGATATTTAAAATGA